GACACGGGAAATCCCACCGTCAGACGGGAAACTTTCCCGTGACACGGTACAAATTTGCGTGACACGGGAAATATTGCCCACCGTGGCACAGTGCAGTATGTCGTTTCACGGTGTAAAAAGTACGCGGAAATTACACGGAATATTCTCTTGTCACGGAATGGGCACCGTGACATGGGAAATGTTGGGGTTTGGTGAGTCCGACTCACCGCGGAAAAAAACCCCGACCCAAGGAACCACTCCCAATAATTAAAATCATAAAGCATAAATAAATAATCACAAAGAAAAGATAACGAATCTTACCCTCGAAGCGAGCTTCGCCCAAAAACCGGGGCTCTTACTTGAAAGCTACGAGCACGTCAAGTACCGCGCCTCCGACGGTATCCACCCACAAAAAGGCGAACACAACTTTAAGGTCTACTACCAGGGGGTTAGCGAGGTCCGACCAAAACCCGAGTGTTATATGAGTTTAAGAGTTTTCCCAAAATTATGGAATGCTCTTTTTAACTCCCACTCAAGCAAAGAATTCTCAAGCCATTCCATGACTATTTATAAGGAAGTATGCCTTGTGAATTTCACTCATCTTTCAATGTGGGACTTTTCACAAAAAGATCCCACATGGAAAGATTGGTAAATTCAACCCTTAGTTAAATAAACAAAGGAACAAGTAACAAGTGTCACATGGTTAGGTGTGGACCACTTTCTCACTTGGTCCCCAAGGCATTTCACATGCAATGTGAACTAACCATGTGTCACCCAACCTTGAGCCCCAAGTTGGGTTCGGTTTGCCCATTTTATTTTGGCCCGTGTCCATGACCCATCAACCCGGGTCCACGACCATTGCCACATGAGTCGCCACCGTGGCGCTACCACGTGGCACACTGCCACTTGGTGGCTGCCAATGTGGCGGCTGCCAACGTGGCTGCTACCACTTGGTGGCTGCCAATGTGGCGGCCACGTGTGCTGCCACATGGCGTTTTTCCATGTGTGCTGCCACGTGGCATGCTCATATTGGGCATGCATTCCTAGCCTTTTGCGTGGCTAGGATTTACTTGTTACTTGATGCATTTTCCCGTCTCGCCAAATCCTAAATTTTGGCTTGACATTTGAGATTCTCCGACGCTCGGTTTCGACGCTCCAAGCTCGAATTTCTGACGTCTAAATGTTTAACACTTGGGCGACGAATTAATTTCTTCCGAATTAATTCGTCGAGTTGGTTCGCATATATTTGCTTGGGTGTGACCCGAAGGGTTCAGTCAAGATTAAGCTGTAATATTAATTATATTAATATTACTGATCGGAAGCGGCCTCCACCCAGGCCTTCCGATCACTTGACCTTAATGAATATATTAGCTTTCTAATAATACTGAACCCGCTATCAAAATAATACACTTGTTTGAAGGACACCATTCCTTTCAGGAAATTGTACCATGACACGGTGCAAAATCCCGTGACACGGGAGAAAATTGTGCAGAATTACAAAAATGGGCACCGTGTCACGGGAATAAGCCCCGTGACACGTCAGCTTTTGCCGCGTCGCGGCATTTTTGCTGCTGCGCGGTAATTTCAGTTTTTTACCCGTTTTTAAAATAATCATAACTTTTGATCCGTAACTCGGAATAAGACATATAATATATCATTGGAAATCTTATCAAGTTATTTTCTATCCCAATTAAAATCAAGTCAAAATGATATGTAGTTTTAAGATATGGTTGTTTTAGTGGAAGGGTGTCGGTTTTAGGCCGAGTTTAGTGTTTTGCTCATATCTTTTTCGTTGTAACTCGGAATTGGGCTTATGATATATGGTTAGAAATATTATTTAAAGTATTATCCAACAAAATAATAATTGGATCAAAATTTTGTATCCATAAAATCAGTTTCTCTCAGTTTTGCGATGTGGACACGAAAAGTGGAAAATAGGTTATGGTTTAGGGAAATGAGCTAGAAATTGGATTGGTTCATGAAATATATTGGATAGAACATGAATTTAAGCACTCCAAAGATTAAATAATCAACTCGACCAATAATGGCGGTGAAAGGTGTTCATCAACGGGTTTGGTTTTGGGGAGACATTGGCATCCAAAAACGTGCTTACTCTTATTGCTTAGAAAGATTGACATCCATCTATGTTTTTTTCTTTTCAATATGCTCTTCATCTCCATGTTTTGTTCCGTGTTTATAGTTGAGTTTCCTCTTTATTTGCTCCCTTGTTTAGTAATTGTTTTGAGCATGTTGCCAAGAGTTGCGGGTTAAACTCTTTGGAAACCCTCACGAGAGCATACTCGTCCTCATCGGCGACTTTGGGGTTTAAATGGCTTGTTGTTTATGCTAAAAACAACCATGACTCCTACGAAAGTGAGTTAGTGTATTCCCCTTCCCCTTCTTTCCTACTTTCTCATGTTTGAATGATTGTGTCTTATTCTTCTTTGTCTTTAGCTTTGCTCGAGGACGAGCAAATGTTTAGCTTGGGGGAATTTGATGAGTGATATTTATGTCACTCCTAGGGTAGTTCACGGGGGGAGCAATCTCTCCTCTGTCCACAGCTGAGTCATAGAGGGCCTGCTGCTGCAGATGGTGGCCCTGTTGTGACTCATAGATTGCCTGCAATTGCCTAGCTATGTCAGATAGCTGGAATGTACCTGTGGGATGCTGTGCGCCCGCTTGCTGCTGCTGCTGCTGAACCTCCTCCTCTACCTCCTCCTCATCACCTACCCCTCCCTCATCATCCCCATCAAGCTCGAGCACTTGCCCGTTATCTCTCAAAACTCTCCATACATAATCGGTGGCACGGGTGATGGAGGTAAGGTGGGGTTTGGGAAGAAAGCAATGGTGTCTCCCTCTCACAAGCCAGCTGTAGTAGGCAGGGTTAGCAGTCGGCAAGGTAAAGTCATACCTACGAAGCTATTCTAGGTCAAGGTAAATGTCACCTTTACTCCCCATGGGTGTGCAAAGAGGTAACATATCAGTGTGCCCCAACTTAATGGCCAACCTAGTGACCATTGCTCCGCAGTGTATGTCTCCAGACCTCTTACCCTTTGCGATAGCTACACAGGTGGTCATGAAGAGAAAAACTAAGTTAAGCTTACGAGGCTGCTCTCTCCTAGAAGCGATCCACAAAATACACACTTCCTCTTTAGTCAACTTCCCTAGGTCTTGATTGCTAATAACAGAATATCCTAACAAACGGTGCAGGACCCTAAGGGCTGGGTGGAACATCTCACTAGCTATAGATTTCCTCGTGGTGAATTCATCTCTGCCAGAAATGTGACGCCACCAACTAGTCTCGTTGTATTCTCTAAAGGTTTCGTAAAGAGGGCGGTAGATATCTGCTTCTGGGAGGAAGTCTAAGGCTTGGTTGAATTGCCCTAAGGTTAGCTCAAGCTGGGTGTTAAAGAGTTGGAATTTAATCTTATATACATCATTATCAAGATCCAAGGTGTCCACAGAGAAGGAGGAGAAGAATTCCAAGCAGGGTTCTAGGTAAGTCGTGAATGAGGAGTTAACAAAAGATCCCATCCTCAAATTCTCAAACAGAAACCACAAGTCGTCATTTATTCCCAATTTCTCCATGTCCTCTCTATGGTAATGCCTTGAGGGTCTGAATTTTCTTTTTTTCATATCATTATAGACGGAGGCATGGTTTTTGTTAATGAATTTCAAAGTAGGTAGAGTGTTTGTTGTATTGGGGTTAGGGTTTTGGGACGATTGTCCCGAGTTAGCAGTTTTCCTCTTTTTCCCAATCCTTAACGAACTCATGACTACTCTTTTTTTTTTTTTTCAAACACAAGCCAACTCTGGCTAATTCCAACCACACCCCCACAAACTACAATGTACCTGTTCTATAACAATAGTAATTCAACAACAACCAAGTATGTCCACAATTTTGACACCAATTTTCACTGAATCAACAAGAATATCCAGCAATAATATCAACAATAATCAATTGAATCTCAAAATTAATCTAAGATAATCAAATTCCTTGCTTAAAAATCAATCAAAGGAGAATAATTAACAAAGGAAATTGAATACCTTTACCCTTATGCAAGTGAATTGCTGTTTGGTGTCGAATTGTTGAAGGGAAGAAGATGAACTTGAGTGTGATGGTGAGAAGCGCCGCGGTGGTGATGATGGAGGAAAATGACCTTGAAGCTTGCGTGAAGATGGAGTAAGTGGATTTGAAGGATGGGAAAGTTAGGGTTTGTGAGTTTTAGAGAGAGAGAGTGAGTGAGAAGAGTGTTTTCTGTTTTTGAGAGTGAATGGAGAAGTAAGGGGGTTTCGGTGTTGAGGAGTCCTTCACTCGTTTTTTTTCTGAAATCGCAACAGGCGCGCCCGCTCCCGATAGAGACGCGCCCGCTCCGGATAGAGACGCGCCCGCTCCTTAACGACACGCGCCCGCGCCTAAGCTGAGGGATTTTTGAATAACTTTTTCAGATCGGACGGCGCGCCCGCTCCTCTTCCGTGCTCAAATCGCGCCCCTTACTAGCTTTTCTAAAGATCTGGGCATCAGATATGGCGCGCCCGCTACGTAATCAGCACGCCCGCGCCACCTTCAGATGCGCGATCTCTCCTCATTCGCACACAAACCGCGCACCTTACTGACTTTTTCCTCCAATTTCAGCCCCTAGATGATACGCGCCCGCTCTTGATTTGGCGCGCCCGCTCCGAAACTGAGGCGCGACCTTTCCTCTTCCGCGCTCAAACCGCGGACCCTTCTGTTTTTTCTCATTCAATTTGAGCCCCTAGATGAGGCGCGCCCGCTCCTGGTTAGGCGCGCCCGCGCCACCTTGTAGCGCGACCTCTCCTCTCAATATATCGCTTTTGCTTCAAATCTTCTCTTTTCTCTAAAACACTTCCCATAACACCTACATCACATTATACAAGAAAAGAGTTAGAGAGATTATACTAAGCGGTTTAAAAGAAAATAGAATAAAAAAGGTTAGAAACCGGGTTGCCTCCCGTAAGCGCTTCTTTAACGTCACTAGCTTGACGTACTTCACACCAAATCACGGCGACTTAAAAACATCAATGAGAGATAAATGCTCTGGCTTCTCAATTAGTTGACCCTCATAGTATGGCTTGAGACGGTGCCCATTCACTTTGAACGGAGGGTACTTGTCATTGAATATCTCAACCGAGCCATAAGGAAAGGCTTTGGAAACTTGAAATGGCCCACTCCATCTAGACCTCAATTTCCCGGGGAAGAGCTTGAGTCTTGAATTGTAAAGTAAGACTTTTTGTCCTTCCACAAATTCCTTCTTGGAAATTTGAGCGTCGTGCCACGCCTTGGTTCTTGCTTTGTAGAGGCTTGCGCTATCATATGCGTTCATTCTCAACTCTTCCAACTCATGAAGCTCTAGAAGCCTTTGTTCACAAGCACTATGGAGATCAAAGTTGATTCGCTTGATTTCCCAATGCGTTCGGTGTTCCATTTCTACGGGTAAATGGCAATTCTTCCCATAAACAAGTTTATAGGGAGTGGTCCCTATAGGAGTCTTGAAGGCGGTCCTATAAGCCCACAAAGAGTCAATGAGTTTGGAGGACCAATCCTTTCTCGTTCTTGCCACCGTCTTTTCCAAAATGATCTTAAGCTCCCTATTAGTTACCTCCGCTTGACCACTCGTTTGAGGGTGGTAGGAGAGCCCTCGCTTATGGGATACACCATACTTATCAAGAAGTCTAGCAAAAGTGTGATGCTTGAAATGTGACCCTCCATCACTAATGATAGCCCTAGGGACACCAAACCTCGGAAAGATCACCCTTTTGAATAATTCACAACCACCTTGGAATCATTTGTAGGAGAAGCCACGGCTTCTGCCCATTTGGAGACGTAATCTACGGCTACCAAGATGTATTTGTTCCTATTAGAAGAAATGAAGGGCCCCAAGAAGTCTACTGCCCATACATCAAAAACTTCAAGCTCAAGGATGGGGTTTTGAGGCATTTCATCCCTCCTAGAGATGTTCCCCACTCTTTGACACCTATCACAAGTTTTAACAAATTGCCAAGCATCTTTGAATAGAGAGGGCCAAAAGAGCATACATTGCAAGACCTTGGAAGTGGTCTTTTGAGCACTCATGTGACCACCACAAGGGGATGAGTGGCACATTGAGAGCACATCTTGGAACTCTTCATTAGGAACACATCTTCTCAAAAGTCCATCTACCCCTCTCTTCAACAACATAGGGTCATCCCATATATACTTCTTTGCTTCATGCTTGAGCCTTAGATGTTGTTGAGGAGTGAAATCCGGGGGTACGGCACTACAAGCCAAGTAGTTCACAATATCCGCATACCAAGGCTCCGATTTTGCCTCAAGAGCATATAAGACATCATCCATTAGGGCATCTTCAATTGGCAAACCATCCTCATGTATTCTTGCACCTCCCAACCTAGAAAGGTGGTCCGCCACCACGTTCTCGGCCCCCTTCTTATCTCTCATTTCGTAATCAAAGTCTTGAAGGACCAAGACCCATCTCAACAACCTCGGTTTGGCCTCCTTCTTGCTTATCAAATATTTGAGAGCCGAGTGATCGGTATACACTATTGTCCTAAAACCAATGAGGTAGGTTCTAAACTTCTCAAATGAATGAATAACCGCCAAGAACTCTTTCTCGGTAGTTGTATAATTCCGTTGAGCATCGTTGAGAGTCTTGGACAAATAGTATATAACATGAAGTTTCCCATCCTTTCTTTGTCCTAGAACCGATCCAATGGCCTCGTCGCTTGCATCACACATTAGCTCGAATGGTAAAGACCAATCCGGTCCTTGGACTATGGGGGCGGTGCAAAGAGCCTTTTTCAACCTACAAAATGACTCATGGCAAGCTTCATCAAATACAAAATCTTTATCTTGCTGCAAGAGAGATGTGAGTGGCTTAGCAATTAAAGAAAAATCTTTTATAAAACGACGATAGAACCCGGCGTGGACAAGAAATGACCTCACTTCCCTTACATTAGTAGGGGGTGGGAGTTTCTCTATGACCTCCACCTTGGCTCTATCCACCTCGATGCCGGCATGGGAAATTTTGTGCCCAAGAACAATCCCATTCTCTACCATGAAATGGCATTTTTCCCAATTCAACACGAGATTAGCCATCTCACATCTTTCCAAACAACGAGATAAGTTAGATAGACAATTTTCATAGGTGGTCCCTCCAACGGAGAAATCATCCATGAAGACCTCTATCTCATCCTCAATCATATCACTAAAGATTGACATCATACATCTTTGAAATGTAGCGGGAGCGTTACAAAGCCCAAAAGGCATCCTACGGTACGCAAAGGTACCATAGGGACAAGTAAATGTTGTCTTCTCTTGATCCTTGGGATCAATCGGGATTTGGAAAAATCCCGAATATCCATCAAGAAAGCAATAGAAGGCATGCTTTGTAAGCCTCTCAAGCATTTGATCAATAAACGGTAATGGAAAATGGTCTTTGGAAGTGTTGGCATTCAATTGGCGGTAATCAATACACATACGCCAACCCGTAACAAGCCGGGTTGGGACTAATTGTTGCTTATCATTGACCATTACCGTCATACCTCCTTTTTTCGGCACTACTTGAACCGGGGATACCCAATCACTATCAGCAATTGGATAGATGATCCCTGCTTCAAGTAGCTTGGAAACCTCTTTCCTCACAACCTCTTGCATGGAAGGATTAAGCTTCCTTTGCCGTTGCCTACACGGCTTAGCACCCTCCTCTAAATCGATTTTATGCATGCATAGGGAGGGGCTTATACCCTTGAGATCATCAAGAGTATAACCCAAAGCCTTCCTATGCTTTTTCAAGACATTTAGCAATGAGGAGGTTTTCTCTTCCGTGAGGTTAGCATTGACAATAACCGGGGAAATATCATTAGCATCCAAAAAGACATACCTCAAGCCCGAAGGTAGAGGTTTCAATTCTACCTTCGGAGCTCCCTTACCATTGGAGATCTCCTCCTTCTCTACCTTGAAGATTTCATGTGTTTGGAGCATCTCTTGGTCGGTGATTGTCTTCTCTTTCTCATCAAGTATTTCTTCATACAATTGCATCTCCTTTTGATCGCCTACTTCATTCTCATTCAACAAAACATTCTCAAGTAGATCATTAGAAGCATGCATATGAGGGTATCTAAACTCATTCATCAAATTTTCAATTGTATCTATTCTAAAGCATTCATTACTAGAGGAGGGTTGTCTCATTACCTTATTCAAGTCAAATTCAATAGAATCATTGTCAACCTTCAAGGTCATCTTACCTTCTTTGACATTGATGATCGCTTTAGAAGTAGCTAGGAATGGCCTACCCAAAATTATAGGAATTCTTTCATCTTCATCCATCTCAAGGACATAAAAATCCACCGGAAAGGTGAGCTTACCAACTCTAAGGGGGATGTCCTCTACTTTCCCTATAGGCAATTTTGTGGACCTATCCGCTAGTTGGAGAGTGATGTTTGTAGGTGAAAGGCTTCCCACATTGAGCTTTTGGTAGACCGAGAAGGGCATTAAACTCACACTAGCACCTAGGTCACACAAAGCCTTCCCCAAATGGATCTCATTGATAGAACAAGGAATGGAAAAACTACCGGGGTCTTGCAATTTGGTTGGTAGCTTACTAGAGAGAATGGCACTACAATTTGCGGTTAGATTAACGGTCTCAACTCCTCTCTTTCCATTCAAAAGGTCTTTTAGAAATTTAGAGTAGTGAGGCATCTCCTTCATAGCATCCACAAAGGGTATAGAAACATGCAAGCCTTTAACTACTTCTAAAAACTTTCCGAATTGGGTATCAAGCTTAGACCTAGCAAATCTTTGGGGAAAAGGCAACCTCTCATTCCTAGGTTGGAGATTAAGGGGTAAAGGTGTTTGCTCTTTGGTGCTTTCCTTTTCGGGTTCCTTCTCTTTTTCTCTCTCACCCCTCTCATGCTTTTCGGCACTTCCTTCTAGAACCTCACCCTCTCTTGATGACTCATCCTCAACCTCAAGTCCTATCCCTTTATCGGAACTCTTCTCTACATTTAAATCACTCTCAAGGATCTTCCCACTTCTAGTGGTAATGGCATACATAGATTTGGGGTTGACACCTTGGCTAGGTAAAGAAGAAGAGGAAGAAGGGGAGGATGAAGAACTTTGTTGGGCAATTTGGGAGATTTGGGTCTCAAGCATTTTCATGTGTGCCTTAATTTGTTTCTTTTCCTCCTCTTGACTCTTGTTGTAGCTCTCTTGATTCTTGATGAAAGCTTGGAGCATGCCCATCATAGAATTCGGAGCGGCCTCAACTTGAGGAGGAGGTGTGTTAGAAATTTGGGCTTGTGGCCTAATTTGTTCAAAACCTGGAGGTCTATTTTGAGGCCTTCGATTTCCGGAACCGTGATTGGAATTAAAACGTTGTTGGTTGTTGGAATAGTGTTGTTGATTTTGATTCCAATTGGGCCTTTGGTTTGAGTAACTTCTTCCATTGTAATTAGAAGAGTTCCCCTTACCTTGGCCTTGGTTATCATAACTACCACCACTTTGATTCCATTTATTTTGATTCCAACCTTGATTTTGATCCCAACCTTGATTTTGATTCCAACCGCGGTTTTGGTTTTGATTCCAATTTGGCCGCATTCCAACGTTTCTCTCACGGGGGACAAAATTCATAGCATTAACATCTTCAACATTATCATCATCATTTTCTTGGGAAGGGCTTTGATATTCATTAATGGACATGCATTGTTCGGAATTATGGTCATAGTTTCCACATATATCACAAAACATACAACCGGGAGGCATAGCATTGTAATTAGAGGGAGAAGAAGTAGAAGGATTCATACCATGTCTTCTCTTGGTAGAAGGAGAGGAAGTATTTTGAGTGCTTGATTTCATGAGCTCCTCCATCTGTTTCGCCATCTTTGCCATTTGGTTGGAAAGATTTGTGATGTCATTGGTTTTCTCGATGGATTGCACCGTTCCTTTGCTTGAAGTGGCTTCCCTCTCACCTTCATACCAATCCTCATAATTCCGGACCACATCTTCTATTATGCTTTCAACTTCGTCCTTTCTCTTGTTCATAATAGGGCCATCGGCCCCGGCATCTAAACTTGTCTTGCTTTGGGGTGAAAGGCCTCCATAGAAAGTTTGAAGAATTTGGTAGTTGGGAATGCCATGATGAGGGCATTGTCTTTGGAGTTCCTTGTACCTTTCCCAAGCCTCACATAGAGACTCACCTCCCCTTTGGCGAAAGCTTTGAATTTTAGAACGAGCCTCGGCAGTCTTCTTATGATTATAGAACCTTGCCAAAAATGCCGTAGTAACCTCATTCCATGTTGTGAGAGAACCGGGAGGCACGTAATTATTCAACCAATGCTCGGCTACTCCCATAAGAGAGAATGGAAACATCTTCAATCGAATGTACTCTTGGGTTACTCCGTTGATCTTGATGGTGTCACAACTTGAGAAATTCTTTGAGATGCTCATGTGGGTTCTCAAACTTACCACCCGTGAATTGCCTCTTTTCTATCAAGGAGATGAAGTTAGGCTTGATTTCAAAATTGTTTGCTTGGGTAGTAGGAGCTAGGATCCCACTTTGAGAGGTATATGGTTCGGGTGCTCCAAGTTGCTTTAGTGACCTTTGATCACCCACGTTTCCTTGATCACCCATACTTTGTTGATTATGGTTATTGGCAAATGGGTTG